CCCAGTAGAGGAATAGCTGGTTTAAAGGGGATTTCCAGACCAACTTTTCTAAGGAGTCTCCATACTGATTTCCATAACGGTTGCACCAGTCTACACTCCTACCAGCAGTGCAGAAGGTTCCTTTTTCCCCACAGCCTCTCCAACATTTGTTGTTGGGTGATTTCTAGCACATATTTTTAAAAGTGCTTTTCCTCCTTCCTCTTTGAGAAGGAAAGGGGATAGGCTTTATAATTAGTTTTGAAACTGAGCTCTATGGATTTATTCCTTGAGCCACACTGCTTATTTGTAAAATATGACAATAATGGAGTCGTTGTGAAGACTAAGTGAGATCATGCATGCCAGGCACCCAGCACACAGTTTTATGTTTGGGAACAAAAACAGAATAAATCCTTTTCTGTTCTTTGGCCACCGCAAGTGGACATTTCAAGTGACACAAAGGCTGAGGCTTTTGGGAAGCTCCAGTTGTCTTAGGTTTTACTTCACAGGGTTCACAGCAGGGCCGCTCAGATACTGGGGCCGAATTCCAGCAGGACATGAGTATAGGATTCAGATTGTTAAACAACTCCTAACTTCTCCCAGAAAAATCTATTTTATAAGATAGCCATATCAAAGTGGCTTTGCTAATAAAAATCTCTGTGTGCCTGTAAAGTACTTTAATAAAGCTTTGCGTATTTACCTGAGTTTCTTCAGATTTAAATGTTTGCTGAAATAACTTGGTGCTGTGCTGTAATTTCTTTTTGCCCTAATTTGTTATAATTTCAAGACTGAAAAGTCTATTTGAGTCCCTGTGTGTTCTTTATACTTTAGGGGCCAAAATAGCCTGGACATTAGCCTTAGTGTATTTACATGTAAGCAGAAGGTAATCACATTTTTAACCAACTTATAGGTATAATAAAAAATAAATGGATAATATTCCCATGAATAGTTTTAAATTATAATCTGCTTCTTTGCTAAACAATAAGAATAGGCGGTAATTTTCATTGAATATTCTTTTACAGATTTATAACAGAACACTTCTAAACCAGAAATATTTATAATTATTTTTCAGGCAAAAATTCATGCAAAACTGGGAATAAAGGAAGTGAAGAGTAAGCTAAAACACAAGGTACACCATATTTTTATTCTATCTGGCTTCTTATGTTAGCTTGAAGATTACTCTTTATATACCACATGAGATTTATTTTTTAGTGACTTTTGAAATATGATTATCCCTTTGTTCAAGAATGCATTTTCTATAACAAGCCCTCTGGCAACTGTCTGCGTTCTATATGCATCCCCTGAATAATCACCTTATTGTGTGCATATTTTATCACAGAACTGTAGAGATCTTTAAAGATACTTTAGCAGGATGTGTGTTTTCATAAAGTTAATTGCTTTGATATCACAATTGAAGTTTTTGCTACAAGCTGAGATTTTTTTAAATAAAAGATATCACTGGCATAGAATTAATCTCGGAATGCCATCATTTATTTTGTAGGCTTTTTCCAGCATTTTAAATTGAAAAAGTTTCTTTATATACAAAATATTTTATATGAGGATTTATATTTAAATCTATGAGTGTTGCAAGTATGCAAATTTTTATGTATGTTTGGTTTCTTTACATTGTATATTTTTGTAGATTTTTTTTGTGGGGGGCTCTTTTTGAGATAGGGTCTTGCTATGCTGTTAAAGCTGGCCTTGAGCTTACTTTGTAGCCTAGGTTGGTCTCAAACTCTCAGCAATCCTCCTGCCTCAGCCTCCCAAGAGCTGGGGTCACAGATGTGCACCACCACACCTGGTTAAAACTGACGATGTTATTATTCATTGTGGTTTTGAATTTTACCTTTGAAGGAAACATTCTCCCTAATCCCAGTGATAGTAATGCAGAACAAATTATCTCACAACAAATCTTGTTTAAATTATCCAAAATAACCAAAGATGGGGCTTAGGTGATAGCTCAGCGACCTAAGCGCCTGCGAAGCAAGTGCAGGGTCATGAGTTTGATTCCTGGTACAGAAAACAAAACAGAACAAAACAAATCAACAACAAAAAACCTTGAAGATCATTTGGGAAATTATTGGCTCATAATACAGAAAAATGCAGTTTCTTCCTAAATATTAAGCTTGTATCTAATGTTCTGTGCACATATTTCAGATGCTTTCTATTTATCAGATAACTTTAGGAATAGAAAGGCTACTCTATAATAATCATTTGTAATTTTTTACGTGTAGGAAAATGAAGATTGTAGTGCCTGTTCAGGAGCTGCACAATGTACACCAGCTTACATGTCACACAGTGAGAAGGGATCAAGCCTGGAAGAGCATACACTTGCCCAGGTAAGGGTGTTTATTCTTTCTGCCTCCATAGTCTGAAATTATTCTCAAAGTAGATATTGATAATCTTCTGAATTTCTACTGGGTCTGTGGAAGGACAGCCAACAGTTTGGCCCTAGCCTTCCAAGGTCAGTGAGGACTCAGGACATAGGAGAATCTTCTGTAACATCCTGTAACTCAGTTGTGTCCCATATTTTCTGATCAAGGAGATTATGGGGCCACAGAAGAAAGTGATCAATGATGTGGAGTGTGCCTAAGGAGAGTCACATGGAGAGAAAAAATTCTCTCAGGCTTTCACAGAGAGCACATTGGTCAAGCAATGGCCATGACTCATCCAGATGGTTGACACTGACAAAAGATGTACAAGGTGCTATACGTGGTTTCAGGGTAAATCCTAAGGGGATTTGACTGACCTTGTCAGATACAAAAGTTACATTTTTAGTTGTATAGGTCTTGCTTTATCTTGGTCTTAAGGATCCAGCAGAAAAGTATAAAAACAAAGTATAAAAAGTAAAACCATATTAATATGCTGAGCTGTAAAAGGCTCAAGTCAACAACTTCTGACACTGCCAGTCCTACGGATAACCCACTACTATTACTGACTACTGGACTATATTGAAATATTTTGCTGAATTCCTGCACCTACAGTATTTAAATGGCAATTGAATACTCTTCTCGACAAAACTAAACAAAAAAGGGCATATAAATGAAGGACCATTTGTATCTGTATATTCAAAATAGTGAGGATAGATATACAGCTGCATTCTCTTAATTCAGTGAATAGAGAGATTTGTTCTAATAGTGTTTGGACAGGATATCATATCTGTGTCTTGTAAAATGAATAACCACTAAGACAACAATATGCAGTATATTAATTATTGAAACTGTGCTAGTAATCGGTTTTGTAACTGTCTCATTGCTATTTGTTTCTCAATAAAATTATTTTTAAAAATTAAATGATAAAGTTAAAAGTTAAAAAAATGAAATTATGTGATTTATCTGACTATTTAGCAAGACTTTGTGCCCATTACTTATTTACCTTATGATAAGAAAGCCTGCTATAATGGTTAAAGAGAAGAGCAGGTGGACTCCAGCCAGTGATCGGCACCATGTGCTCCTGACACCAGCCTCGGACTCTAGCTAAGCATCGCAAATTCGAAAATCAAAACCCAAGCTTTTGAGCATCAACATGGTGCCACAAGTGGAAAATTGTACACTTAACTGTATGTGACTTGTTGCATTTGAAACACATACATGCTATAATATTTATAAAAATATCAAATAAAATCACCTTCAGGCTGTATGTATAAGGTATATGAAATAGAATGAATTTATGTTTAGACATGAGTCTCATCCTCACTATTTGTCATTTTATATGAATATAAATCTTCAAAAATCCCAAGTCTGAAACATTTCTCTTTCCAAGATTTTCAGTTAAGGAGTATTCAGCCTTTATTTTATCATGTAGCTTATAATCCACTAGGGAAGACATACAGTTAAATAGGTAGTTGCCATAGAATGTGAATAGTTTGGTGATATATGGGAAACCACAGATTTCCTTAACTCCAGAAATACGGTGAAATTCATACATCAAAGTTTGATCACTGAAACAGTCTATAGAAATTAGTGGGGGCCCAGGAGATGGCTCAGTAGAGGGCCTGAGTTTAATCCCTCGTTCCGAAAAAAAAAAAAAAAAAAGAGAGAAAGAAAAAAGTTTTTACATTTCTTGTTGTATAGGTCTTGCTTTATCTTGGTCTTAATCATCCAGCAGAAAAGTATAGAAATGAAGTATAAAAAGTCAAGCCATATTAATATGCTGAGCTGTAAAAGGCTCAAGTCAACAACTTCTGACATTGCCAGTCCTACAGAAAACCCACTACTATTACTGACTACTGGACTATATTGGAATATTTTGCTGCGTTCACACACCTACAATATTTAAATGACAATGGAATACCCTTCTCTGACAAAACTAAACAAAAAAAGGGGATACAAATGAATGACCATTTTGTATCTGTATATTCAAAATAGTTAGGATAGATATACTTGGGCCAGAGAGATAGCTCAGTAGAATAAGCGCTTGCCTGTCAAGTGCAAGGACCTGAGTTCAATCACTGGTTCCACCAAAAAAAAAAAAAAAAAAAAAAAAAAGATATACAGCTACTTTCTCTTAATTCAATGAATAGAAAGATTTGTTCTAACAATGTTTGTGGACAGGAGGATACCATGTCTGCATCTTGTACAATGAATAACCACTAAGACAACAATATGCAGTGTATTAATTATTGAAACCGTCCTACTAATCAGTTTTGAAACTGTCTCACTGCTATTTGTTTCTCAATAAAATTATTAAAAAATAATAATAATAAAGAAATTAGTGAACTACCAAACAAACTTCTACTGGGGTTGTACCCTCATAAATCCAATGTAAACTTTTTCAGCTAAAAATATCAGAACTTGAAATACACTTAACATCAAAGCCTAGCACACAGGGTGCCGCAGCCCTCTTCAGCCTCCCGACTGCGGGCCTGACTGGCAGCTGTAGATCACTACCCTGCCCAGTGGCGCGAAAGAGCATCACGTCACACGTATCACTGGCTGGGAAATCCAAAGTGGAAATATGGCTTCAGCAGAAAGATTATGGCTTCCTTACCATCTGAAAGAAACAGTTACCACAAGTTGGCGTCTATATGTGTATGTGTCCATCTAATTCTAAAGTTATTTTCTTTGCATTGAATATATAAAGCTTATGTGTTCATAGATGCTAATGCTGATGTTACTTAAAATTTTGTCCCAAATGGCAGAGATCATAGCAAAAATGTGTCCCTCATTAGGTATCAAAATATGTGGTTTTAACCAAGAAAATTTGCATAGACCAGATCACATCAGAAGTTGCCCTTAGGAAACCAACTTTAATGCCTAACACTACCCTGTGCTTCTCTCAGGCAGTGCATTTGCTTAAGTACTGATCATGCTGAGCATCATTCAGGCAGGTATGACTTTAACCAGTTGATTCTCATATTGAATAAATTTGACAAATTTGTCATGATTATTTTTACTGTAATTTTGTAAAATTGATAAATATGCAAATTTTGGTCATCCTATATTTAAATGATGGATTGATAAGTGGTTAAAAATAATTCTTAGGCCAACAAGATAACTCAGCAAACTAAGCACGTGCTTTGGCAAGCAAAGGGACCAGGGTACTGTCCCCGGTGCTGCATGCTGCGCTGGCCCTGCCCCCGCGGTGCACTGAGCCTGAGACTGAGTCCATGTGTGGTGGTTGCCTGTAATCCCAGAACTGGGGAGGCTGAAAACAGGAAGATCTCTATGAGTCCAAGCTGCATAGTGAAACTCTGTACCAAATACATAAATAGAAAAAATAATAATTCTTAAATGGATGTACAAATGATGAATTATAGAACCAGGAGTATAGCACTTTATTTGTCAAGGTTTATAGATGAGAAAGCTGACAGTCAGAATGATCATCACATCATTTGCCTCTTGTGTTGTGGTCAAAGTGGAACAGAGTGGGCAGAACTCCATGTATAATGCTTAGCCTGATACTGCAAAGTATATATGGCCATGGAGTGTCTCGGTGCATCTTTGTCCTGCTCTGTGTGCTGCTGTAGCAGAATGCCTGAGATGCCTGAGATGGGTCTCAGTGGCTTATGAAGAACATAAATTCATGAAAGCAGAGAAGTCCAAGGTAAAGGCGTTGGCACTGTATTGTCATCACATGGCAGAAGGCAGAAGGGCCAGGGAACACGGGGGAGCTGACTGGCCCTTTCATAAGGAGCCAGCCCCGCTTGTCGGGGTGGAGCCCTTGAGGCCTAATCAGTCTTCCAGATCCTGTAGTTGTCCCATTGTTAGCACTAAGGCTTGGAGAGGACACTTAACCCTGCAGTCTATATGTACGGGCAAGGGCCGAAAAAACTGCACTAAAGCTAGAACTTTGTAAGAAGATCCTACTCATTTGATAGTTCAAGATCTGTCATGTTTGAGGCACTTGTAGTTACCAGTTATAAACAGAAGGAAAACATAAAAATCTTCCCCCTTTGTGGAACTATATTTGTAATTATTTTCTCTGATTTTTCCATTTATTCAGCTGCTACTTCCATAGGTCAGAATTGCTTCATCACAGCATATTGTTAGTGAGTACTGATTATGTGGCCTAAGATAAGCCCTGCATGGAGTAATTATTCTACATTATAGCAAGCTTTGCTGGCCACAGGCACTGGATGGGGAATATTTATTAACTTGTAAACTAATGACAGGTTTGTTGTTGATTTTGCTGGTTTTTCTTTTGTCATCAGTATGATGAATTCTTCTGTTTTCAAGTTTTGACATCTTAAATTTTTTTGTAAATTGTATACTGGCTTAATAATGTATGATTATATTTGCATGGTGAAAGGTTTTTACATGAAAAATGAGATTTTTTGGTTCCTATTTGATCTTCTCAGATAAAAGAGAACATTAAATTGAAGAAATTGTTTCCTTAAATTTCAGTTTTAAGAGAACTTTGTTCAGCTCCTTATATTCCTATTGCATATGGTTGGGGGCACAGCATGTTTTGATATCCTTCATGAAGTGATTATTACAATGGAGAAAATCACATCCCATCACCTTCGTAACTGTTGGTGTCACTGCGGTAGGAATACCTACAAGCTGCTGTCTTAGTACATTTCCAACAGTTTGTCAGCAGTGATCCTTGCACACTTCTTCTTACTAAAAAGGATTGTATAAAGTGGAAAAATTACAAGATTAAAAGTTGTATCTACTGTATCCTCATAGTAAGCCTTTTCTTTCCCTGTCCTGGGATGGAACACAGGGTGTTGCACTTTCCAGGCAGGCATTTATGCTGTTGCACTGTATCCCCCAGCCCTTGTACTAAATCTTACACTAAATCCTCAGGACCATTATTTGTTATAATATCGCTATTTGCATTTATTAGCAATTTATAGTATAAGGGAGAATTTCTTTAGAGGAGTTTAAAGGAGAGT